CTTGGAAAGGGACAAGAGCCCCCATTGGGCTTGTCCATTTCAAAGGAGGAATGCGGAACTCCATGTGCTCCATATGGGCAGTCCCACTGACTATGGGCGGCATGTGGGTGCCAGCTTTTGAAATGCCACCCGAGCACAGGATCAGCTGGGGACTCCTCCGCTGACCCCGGGCTCCATGCGGCGCCGCTGCTTTGGAATGCCACATGCAGCCCGGGGACACCCCAGCTGGCCCTGGGATGCACGCGACGTTGCAAAGCGGCAGTGCCGCACAGACCCCGGGCTCCAGCCTTAGGCTCCACGCAGCGCTGCTGCTTTGAACCCCCGCTCCACTTCCTCGCCCTTGCTGTCTCTTTCTGATAGAGGCAGTACAGTTGGGGGGAAGCAACTAGTCAACTAGCCTGTCGACTGTCCAAAAAGCATTTGCTTATCAGATAGTCGACTAGTCATTCACATTCCTGATGCATGAAATACACTTCACATTCCCCTTGCACAGGAACACAGGCTGCTATTCCCCATGTGATTCCATTAAACGATTGGCTCTGCTGTACCACAGCATCGTAAATAAAAGAGGGTGACCACCTACTAGTTCATCCCCTGAGTCCAGTTTCAAATCTCTCCGGTGATCTGGTTTCTGTTATTACTAGGGATGTTAAAATGTGTTTCTTTTTGTAAATGTGTAACTTCTGACATTTCCAGTGATTACACGTTTACACATGGGGGAATGTGGCATCTTCCAGCTAACTTGCCCCTGCATCTGTGAGAGGCAGCAGCGTGGGGAGGGAGGGGCGGGCAGCTCCAAGGGAGCCTGCGTGCTTTGGAGGCCTTAAAAGCTGGCTCTCCATACGCTCTGGCTCCCTCCCACACGCTGCTGCCTCTGATACAGTTTCTGCTTCCCTTTTCTCCCCCATGAAATATCTGCTGCAACACTTTTGTATTCTACACTCCCTTGTGCTCATCTAGTTTATTGAATGGTTGGTTGTTTAAATCACTGAATGAAATACTTATTTTAAATTGACTGTTATGCTCATTTGAGCCTAGTGTTATGTCTGCCAAATTCTGTAATCTGAAACTAAATATTTGTAAAACAAAAGAAACATCAGCATTGCAGTTCTGCTGATTTGCAAAATGCATCTCTCCCCCCCCCCTCCCCACACACACACTTTCATTTTGTGCATTGTGGGCCTTGTGTAATGGTCATTAGGGATTTGAAACTACTAAAGATTTCTGGCTGCCAGAACTTATTTCACAAGTAAGTCAGCTGACTCTCATGAGATTAGCTGGGAGTTGTCCAAAGTTTGTCTAAAACAGTATTTTTTTAAAAAAAACCACACACACTTTCATTTGGTCCCATAGCCAACTTTTCTGGTACTTCAGATAATTGCTAGTCACTAGTACTATAGTATTGTATATTTGAACATAGTTCCACTTAATGGTAAATTAGCTCTTCTGGATTTCCCTGCTGGTTATCCACGCATGGCCTGGAAATAAAAGCTGTCTCTTTGCAAATGAATAAGTGCCCCTGATCTGAGTCAGTGATTTCACAACTGATTTATAAATACAAATACCATTATTACTATTATAAATAGTGGTGTCTCCCAGGGATCTGTACACGGTCCAGTGCTGTTCAACATTCATAAATGATAGGGAAAAAGGGTGAACAGTGGCAAAACTGGCAGTTGATACAAAATTACTCTAAATGGTTAAGTCCAAAGCAGATAGTGAAGAGTTACAAAGGGATCGTATAGAACTGGGTGACTAGGCAACAAAATGGTAGATGAAATTCACTTGACAAATGCAAAATAATGCACATTAGAAAACATAGTTCCTACTATGGATGTAAAATCCCAGTTCATCAGGTAACCGGTTAAGTGTTAAGTTAACCCAATGTTTAGCCAGTTAACCCATTAAGCAGGATCCAGGTGGGGGATTTCTCCAGCCCCAGGAACAGCCTGCTGAA